CCCCCCCCCCCTCCCCGAAGCAGCATGACTGAGGAGCTAGGTAGAGCAGGAGCAGAATCTGGGGGAACATAAGAAAAACTGATCCAAATTCCCCATGAGATAAAGGAGTGGCTGTGTCAGGGTATTCTCTGCTCCTGCTCTGACACTTGTGGTACTGGAGATCTGATTGCAGCTTGACTCTCTCTACCATTTTTATCTGAATACAAGACAACTTTGAATGCAAGACAAATCCCTAATAATTAGATTTGATACATGAACAATGAATAAACTTGTTACAATTTTCCATGCACAGAATCTAATTCTTGGGTGGGTTGTCTTAAGTGTGTCCCTCCCATTGCTGAGACAGGGAAAAAAGCAGCAGGGGGGCAAGTAGTGACAAGGAGGTAAGCAGCTGGTCTCCGACCCCATGCTCCCTGTGCCTGCATCCCCTGGCACCTGCCCTCCTAACACTTAACCCTCCCTGGTGCCTGCCCCCCCTGGCACTTAGCTCCCTCCCTAGTGCCAGCCCCTTCCTAACATTTGCCTTCACCCTCCCCCTTGCCACCATCACTTACCCCAAGTTGTGGCTCCAGGTCTGGGTCCAAGTCCAGTCCTGCTCTGACCCAGGGAACATGCTAGTTCTGGCCCCTGCCTGGCTCAGGAGCAGCAGTTGCAGGGGCAGCAGCTATGGACCTGCCCCAGCACTGGGTCAGAACTACAGCTGCCAACACTTGCAGCAGCTGCCATCCCAGGTGGGGCCTGGAGATAGCAAGCGCTCTGTGCCCTAGGCCAAAGCCAGGACCCCAGGTAAGTGACAGCAGCCAGAGAGGGAAGAGGGACGCAAAGGCTGCAAAGAGGTAGAGTAGCACGGGGCAGAGATGGAAGCTCCAGTTCTGACTCTGGGTCAGGGCCAGAGCCACAGCAGTTGCCTGCTGGCTCCGTCTTGTGCTCAAATTCACCCCCACCTCTGCTGAACGGGGAAAATGACATCATCTCGGATTTGAGTAAGTATGGTACTTTCTGACCAGATACACTAGAAATAGTGCAACTCCAGAGCAGGAGTTTCTCCACGAAAGCAGTGAGGATTCCCAAGCTCAAACATGTAACCCTCTGAAGAACATACAGACGCCTTGAGCCCAACTCCCCTCCTGTTACACTGTCTTTTTCACAGGGCTGAAACTCGCTTAACTGTCTGGTCTGGATTCATAAATCAGCAGGGCCAACCGTTTTGGCAGATGCGTCACAAATTAAGCCCTGTGCCCTCTCCGAGTGCCACTCCAATCCCCTCCCGCGGCCTGACCTGCTGCTCTGCTTTCTGCCCTCCCTGCTGGGGGCTGCAGCCACCTCCCCGATCTGCTGCGTGCCGTGTGGGCCACGTGTGGCACACATGCCGCAGGCTGGGCACCCCCATCTTAAACAGAGAGTTATGACAAAACCTAGTGTTTCAGAAAGGCTTACGCCAACCCACGACAGCATTCGCGTTTTGTGCTCAGGAGCAGCAACTACATCTGAGCCGAACTCGTCTGGTCCATGCGCTCCCAGTCTCAAACTCACGCACCACTCGCTGTCCCTTGGCATGGGCCGTCTAGGCTTGGCCGGCTCGAGGAAGCGCTCGCTTCCCGGCTGGAGCAAGGCGTCTCCCCCATCCGAGCCCGCGAGCGGGGCCCTCCCCCCACGGACCGACCCGGGGGAGGGAAAAGAGGGCGGCGGGCCCGGCCGCACCTGGCCCCGCCGGCACTCACTTGAGCCAGTGGTCGAAGACGTCGAGCAGCGAGGCGGCGTTGGGGTCCTGGTCCGCCTGCAAGAGCACACACGGGCGTCAGCGCGACCCCAGCCCGGCCCAGCCCCCCCGCCCCGGCCGGCCCCCGGCCCGG